GCTTGTAGATGAACGGAGAAAGACTGACTGCCACTCAGATTTCCTGCGGTACTTGAACGGACTGTTGTGCAGATGAATCCCTTACTCAGGGAGAAGCTCAAACGTTTCCTCAAGGAAAAGTGGGTCCAAACCTCCAGTTTGTTTCCTCAGTTCAGTTTGAAACTCAATTCATCCTTCCAGGGAGAGAAGGTCCGTAAAATCCAGTTTGCAGGATGACTTCCTGTCGAGAGGCAAAGACAAAAAAATAATGTTAAGACTCAGGTTGACAAAAACTCAGTTTGACTCAGCAAAACTCAGCTTGGCTAGAGTACCCCAAACTGGCAAACACTCTGGCGTAGAGGTAGTGGCAGTCAGCAGCTTAAGTGCACTCCGTTAACGAGGTAACCCCTTGCAGGTGTGTGAGGAGGAGAATCAGAGCCAGGCGCCACCTGGTGGAGGAAGGAAGAGAAACACACTAAAAGACAAACCACACAGACTGGATTCCTAACAATTTCATTGTTATTCATTTATGTTATTATTTGATTTAACTTTACTGTGAGGCATTTGGACCCAGGCAGAATGTATGTGTTTAGTTCAAATATGTTTTCTGAATATTTTAATGAAATCACAGTGAAAGCACCAGACTTATTAAAATGATCAGGAAAAATAAAAAAAAAGCGAGAGGGATTGATTTTATAAAAAGCAATACTTAACTGAAGAATAAACAAATGGAAGTCACTGTTGGACTGCAGACTAATCGTTACATCTTTGTGCTAAAGCATCAATACCTTCCTTCCTAACGGAGGAAAGAATTTGCAAAAAATATCAGCTGATTCCTCCAAGTTTCAGTTCATCACAGTCAGAAATGACTGTGAGGGAAAAACTATAAGCTCCATATAGCAGCAATAACTCTGACATTTTCTCTCTCTCATATTTAGACTTTTCTTTTATCACTTCTGTTTATTAGGACGTTAATTTTTGCAGTTTTTTAAAGGTTCCACTGCAGCATTGTAGGACGGTTGTGTTCTGGACCGGAATCCCGCCATTGCATCTGATTGCTGGAATTGGTTTTTGTGAAATTAATCAGAACTATGCTGCTTACTGAGAGGTGGCTATCAGGATGAGCCATTACTCCAAAGCCAGTCTATGTTTTTCTAAATCAAACTATTCGAAGATTTAGGAGAGAAAAGGTGGTGGTAGGAATTTCTGTAAAACAAAGCAGGGGTAAAGATGACTGACATCACCTATGAGGTCAATACCCTGATTTGTTCTGAGTTGTTCTGCACAGCCCGGTTGTAAATGGCTGGCTTCAGTTACCTTTAAATAATGGTGATGTCTTTGTTTGATGTTTCTCAGGTTTTCTGATATTTAGGGATATTTCATGACAGTGAGTCTGATTTCATACAGAGGAAAGGGATCTGTTGGCATGTTTCCAACGCTACGAATAACATCATCAGGTTGTATTTCTAAACTATTCAGACTGGTTCCTACGAGTATTAGGGCCAGCCTAGAGATTTCTGTTCTTTAATTAGGAAAAAAAGTCAAAACATTATGAGAATAAAGTCATAACATTACAAGAGTAAAATTGTAACATCATGAGAATAGTCAGAAAATTACCAAAGCAAAGCTGTAATATTATCAGTCGTAACATTATGAGGATGAAGTTTTAATATTGCAGGAATAAAATCATAACATTATGACAATAAAGTCGTACATTTACGAGAATACAGTTGTAACATCAGAATAAAGTAAATAAATACATTATGAGAATGAAGTCATAATATGAAGAGAATAAAGTCATAAATTTATGCAAATAAAGTCCATAAAATAAGAGAATAAAGTTGTATTTTATGACAACTCTTACTAGAAGCACTTTCTTCCCTAAAATGAGGAATGTTGAGCAACTTGTAAAGTTATACTTTGGCATCAGTTTCACAAAGGAGGAAATATTAACGGTTTTAGCATCAAATCATTATCAGTATCAGAAATTTGAAACAATTGTGCAAATGTGTATATATATATACATATATATATATATATATATATATATATGCTGGTCGGATCTTAATGCTTTCTTTCTTTCTGAAACGGGTTGACTCTATGATGTTACAACATTATTATCATAATGTTATGACTTTATTCTTGTATTTATTAATAATTTAATACTAATTTCATCGTATTTAATACTAGGTTCCTAAGGCAGCAGCACATAATGCTGCTTCTTCTAGTTGCAATTAAAGCTCAGCTGTATGATGTCAAAAGAAAATTAAAAACAGTGATGTTTTGTTTTTAATCTTCAGTAAATGTCAGAGAAAATGTGTGCCTTGTAATGATAAAACATTTGCATGAAGCCATGAGGAGCATCAGGACCAAACAGGACCGTGAAATTCTGTCTCAGCAGATTCAGAAACGTATTTAAAAGGACCCAGATCTATGTCTGAGTGATGCGATAGACTGATGCAGTGTTTTCTTATGCGATGACGCCCACAGGAAGTGTTATGAATCCCTTGCGTAGTTTGTCCACAGCTGACATTTAGATGAGGCCTGACCTCTGACGTTTCATTCATGTTTGTTCCGTCAGGAACTGTACTTCCTCCCCAGTAAGAACCGGGTCAGTCGCAACTGCCACACATCTACCATCCTGACTCCAAATGGCAAGGAGAACGCTCAGAGGATAGCAGTGAGTTAACCTTTCTAGAAGTTATTTCCTTTCTCTGACATCAGCTGTCTGCATCACAGAGAAACGTCATTTAACCTTTTGGGTTTTCTCCAGTTATTACCTTAAAAAGCACACATTTTATTTTCAGAGCAGCAGTTTGAGCAGCTAATGCTCACAATGCTCAGCAGGACCTCTACTCTTCTGTATTTATTGTTATCTCCACGCAGAGAGAGGAGCTGACAGAGGTGATTCTGAAGCTGCTGCTCGCGTGGCGAGACCCTCTGTGGCATTTCCACCAGAACATGGCTCGGCACCACAAGTTCAACAACCTCAGCTCAAACAAGTCTCTGGAAATGAGCGAAATGGTGCATGAACTACGGAAAGGTGTGCAAAAGGTGGCCGAGAAGGTAGATGCCTGCACAAACAAAGACACATAATACCACACAGAATCATATCCAACCGACTTTAAGAACATTTTAGGCTTCATTTTATCAAAGAAAGACAAAACCATTTATTCAAGATTGGTTTACAACAACAAACTGTAATGTATCACTAGTAATACATGAAAATAGATAAGAAGGGGAGATTTACATTTTGTTTGTAAGAAATGTAAAATAATTTCTGCTCAAAGTTAAAATAAAATGGCGTTTTCAGCAGCTAATCTTCAGAGAAACAGAAACTGTCCCAATGTGTTTTTTTGTGGCTGTTAGATGGCAGGTTGGAGATTATTCTACTCATAAATGTGAGCGGAGCAGAGCAGGAGGAGGCAGCCCTAAAACAGAACAGACTGATGACACTGGCAGACCAGCTCATCACAATAAAACCGCTGTTAACAGAACAAAACAAACGGAGCAGAGAAATCAAACACTGAAGCAGCCAAAGAAGTGGCTCCAGGTGGGATTCTACAGGAGTAAAACAGTCTTATTTTACTTTTAATTTACAAGCAAAAAAAATTTGCCTACAAAAATTCAAAAACAGAAATCCACGTGTTGACCTTTTATCAGTGTTATGCATGAATACGTTCACTGTTTCTGTTCCTGTTATTAGTGAATGGATCAGTTTTAAAGAAAAGTGCGGTCAGCGGAGAATAATCAATGTATCATTATTTATACCTAAAACTAATACGTTCGTGGTGATCTAATGCATTTAGCGGTCAACAGTTAAAAGCAATAATTTTCGTGGTGATCACTGAGTCTGGGAGCGGCCATTTTGGCTCAAACATACTAACCCCTCCCTCCTGCCATCTTCCAGCAGTGACGTCACGGTGCGGTAAGCCTAGCGCCATTCTCCCCGCTTTACAAGCTAAATCAATGGGAACTACTAGACACATCTGCAATCAACAACAATTATTGAAGATTTCCAGAGGACTTCACCATTGAAATTCACCAGAGCTATAGTGAAACTGACAATGCCCACGTGCATGGCAGCTGGATGCTGGAATACATCGGGTAAAAGTGAAAAGAACGTGAGATATTTCACCTTTCTGACTGGCACTCAGATTTACTGCTGTACTTGAACGAGTCGTAGTGGAGATGAATCCCTTGCTCAGTGTGAAGCTCAAACAATCTCTTGAGGGGAGGTGGATTCAAACCTCTAGTTTAAATCCTCAGAACAGTTTGAAGCTCAGATTATCCTTCCGGGGAGAGAAGGTTCGAAACATCCAGTTTGCAGGATGACTTCCTGCCGAGAGGCAAAGACAAAAAACAAGGTTAAGACTCAGGTTGACAAGAAGGTTTGACTCAGCCAAACTAAGTTTGGCTAGAGTACCCAAAACTGGCAAACACTCTGGCGTCGAGGTAGTGGCAGTCAGCAGCTTAAGAGTCCTCCGTAAATGAGGTAACCCCTTGCAGGTGTTTGTCCTCCTGTTGGAGGAAGGGAGACCAACACAGAAACACAATCACACAGACAGGAGTAATGACAACAGCCGATACCGCACCGTGACGTCACAAACCAGTAGGTGGCAGTAGTGTTCTTTGACAAACATGGATGCCTCTAGTAAAGCACATTCACATGAAAATTACTCTGAATTAAAAACACTGATCAGTTATTGCACAGGATGCAAACTTTTCCTTTAACAGACCAGGATGGAAGCAGTGGTATCTCCAAATTGGAGAAGTTATCTAAATGACATAGAAAAATATTGCAGCAAAACCTAAAAGCTTCATCCAGTATAATATAACGACACAGATGTTTTTTTCTATTTGTGATTCTTTTCTTCTACTGCTTTTTAATGCAAAACAGCTCAAAGCATTTAACTGTCAGCATTTAGCATCTAAGATACAGCAGATCCATTCCAGTTCATATGCACCAAAAAATGTATTTACTCTAAATGTTTGACAGCCTGTTGGAGGCCTGCATCCATACGCTTTGCTGCCCCTAATTTAGGTTAAGGTACTAACTTTAGAAATGTGTTTGCTCCTGTTTGACAAGAAAGGAACAGAAAGTTAAAGTTCACTTTCAGGGTTAAAGTTCACTTTCAGAAGAACCCCATAAAGAACTCCTGGGAGGTAGGTTTCCATGGATGGTAAAAAGTTTAGTTTATTGTTAGGTTGGAATAGAATCCAGTTCTTTCTAATGTTAAAAATGAAGGTTTCTGGTCATTTAATTTCTTATCCATGCAGCAGAACTTTTTCTCTGCTTGTAAACCCGTTGCTGTGGAGCAGTTTTTGCAGCATCCTGATGTATATTTCTGTTTCCATAATTCAATTAAGTCAATAAAGTGGTGCAGCTGATGCTGCTGTAAAGGTGTGCAGAGGTTTCAGTAACAAAGGACAAATACTTCATTTCCTTACTTCAGTAGAAATGTTGGCTATCTATACTTTACAGGAATAATAAGTTTAGGCAACTTTTTACTCGTACTACTTGCAAAATTTAATGAAGAAATAAAAATTCATAACCAATCAACAAGAAGATCAGTAACCAAATGCGTTATTTTTGCAGTTATCTCTACTTTCTACCGCTTACATTTTAAAACTAGACATTTGAAATGAGAGTGAATCATGTTTGTCATTGTTCCTAAGATGCAGATGCTGGGGATAATAAGCAATTCTCTCGGCACCCTGGGTTCCCGGGAGGCTCTGCTGGCCTCAGATAGTCCTGAGTGGCGACTCATGAATGACTACAACCTTCTCTACTGCTTTCGCCGCGATTCAAACAAGATCCAGAACTACCTGAAGATTCTGAAGTGTCGGATCGTTCCGGAGCATGGATGCTAAAATGTGTTGGACTCGCACTTACATTACGTTTTAGAAAAACAAATGTCTTGATTTACAGTGTTTTTTTTTTTTTATCTGCAGATTATCAGGCGGAATTAGCTACACATATGATTAGTTCAGCTCTGTCATGAATGGAGACCAATTATAGACTCTGCTTACTCTGTTCTTCATGCATTATTTGACCTTGAAGTTTTCTCCAAATGAACGGACATGAACGGGGAAGTGGATGTAAAAATCTTTACGAAACGGCATGTGAAATGGAAAATACATAAATGAAGTATTGTTGTGTTATATAAAAATGTTGCTAATTATATATCATTTCATTTAAACAAAAGAGATTCATGTGCAATGCTTTAACCCTGTGACTGAATCTGACGCTCAGAAAAGAGCCAGTTTGAACAGAATGATCCGTTTTCTATGTCTTTGGATAAGAAGACCCATTCTATACATATGATGGTTCTTTTTTTAATAAATAAATTTAATCATGGAGAAGTAATAAATCTATTCATAGGTCTGCAGAAACCTGAAAGCAAACAGGGATTGAGTTGTTTGATTGTGTTGTTGACAACAGAACTGTTCAGTCAAACAACATCCCAGAATTATAATCCTCTTTCTACCCTATTAACCTTAAAAATCTCATCTTTTGTTTTCATGGAACTTATTACAAACACAATAATAGTGTGAGGACCCATCAGCTGTAAGAAAAGACCTTAGGAAGCATCTGTCATCTGATAAATGTGGTTCAACAAGCTGTAACTGAACTATAAAAATCAGTTTAGAGAGGTAAAGTTTGCTTGTTTTCTAATTACATTTATATTTTAATACACAATAAGTTTAACTCTTTACCTAATAAGGGAAGAAATGACACAGGAAGTAATGATGTAGTAGTTCTGTTTTAATTGTTGGTGTATTCATAATAAACACTATTAAGACGGATGTGATATCTCACCCCAGTTATTATTATTTGGAAGTTTGGAAAGTATACCAAAACGAGAATGAGAATTATTTCAGTTATTTATAATAAATCATTGCTGTGATGTGGAGGCACATGCAGTACACGCTCATTGAGTAGAAACGTATTTAAGGAGAGAAGACGAGTCTCAGAGCAGAATACATGATCACATCAAGCAAAAGCAAGAAGACAGAAGGAACAGGAAAGGCCCTCAGAAGGGACCAAAGATAGCGTCTGTGTGTTAGCCTGGGTTGAAACCAAGCAGCTAATCTGTAAGGCTTCCAACAACCCTCCCACTTTTGCAGAAAATATCCAAATCGTTTTGAACTTTGATTAAAAAAAAAAACTATTTTGGTGTTTCTCTGCTTAAGCAGCAACATTTAGGAAAAGCTTTGCTTGCTTTGTCCTGATATTCTTTGTCCCTCTGATTGTGGATTAAAGTTTCTTTTAACCATAACCGATCTTTTTTAAGACTTTTGAAGCTACTATGAGAAAAAGCAGAGAGAGCAGAAATTAAATTTACTTACCTTATAAAAGAAAGTAAATTGCAACCCACCCCCCCACCCCCCTCTAATAAAACACAAACTCAAATATGGGATCTCCTTTCTTTGCTTTGAAAACGGATTGAACAGATTTCAGTCGGGGGGCCTCTGGCAGTACTTACTTGTTTAGTAATAACGCATCTGCATCAGTTTAATCAGGGGTCTTTCTTTGTACCATGAAAAAGAAAAACGTCTTTCTTCCTCATTTACATCAGACAGAGGAGGAACAGTTGTGGCTGCAGCCTCTGCTTACACTTGGTTTGCTAAAACTGAAGACATATTAGTACCATTCCTGCTGGTGCTTTATGACTGTCTTTTCTCATTCAAGGTGTAATTTCCATTTTGCAATACGACCCTAATAAAATGTCATTCCTAATGCATCAAAGTCCCATTTAATAGCTCACAGCATCCTCTGCTGGTCGTCTTGGGTCAATACACTACAATAAAATAAAATACTGGTGCCAGGCCTGCAACTGTACTTCATAGTTAAACTGTTTTTTATGTTATTGTGGATAATCTGCAGTTTGTTCACAAGGATGTTCTATTCCTGTTTAATAAACTATTATTAAACAATTGAAGGTTTATTTCCTGAAGCAGATAGATGATGAACAGATGTCCTTTAGGTCCTAGAAACCTCTGTTTTCAGGGGTTGATGAATATTTACATGTAATAAAAACAGAGCATTATTATTCACCCATAATTAATTAAGCTTCTAGTGTACCCTCTTTGTCGTTTCCCTAATTATTTTATTTTTTTTATCTTATAGATGTTGTGAATAACTGTTATATTCAATGCCCAGCCAGCTTACACGTCATGTTATGTTGTGATACTTTAAAACTTTTATTGCCCATCCCAGTAGGGGTGGTAAATATCTTATTTAATCAGATATTGTTTCGGCTCTTATATACTGCTAATGACGCACCGTCCTACTAACTGTGTGTTAGAACAATAGATGAAAGAGTGATTCGAGCACTAATCGTGGTCAAACAGTTAATTC